CGTCCATGTATGCGACTCTCGGCTTGAATTGGGGGAGTACACTCCTGGGTATTGTGGAAGTTTTATGTATCTCCATTCCCGTTGTTTTCTATTTTTGGGGACATAGGATTCGTGAAAAGAGCCCGCTTCTTAGAAAGATGCAAGGTTCCACATTTTCCTAAAGCTGTTGATGGTTGCCCTTGACTGTAATTCTGTTCCCTCATACCATAGAATAGTTACTAGCATTAGCGCATGCTATACAGATCGCGAATTTCATTCGAACATTGACCCAAGCTTTATTAGGCTATAGCCTTTCAGAAGGTTCCGTGTTCATTATTGATTGTTCAAAAAGCGAGTTACTGACGAGTGAGCCCAACGCACTATGACCATGCCGACTGTGGGCCGCCCGGGCAGTCGGACTCTCGGGCCCGCGGGCCCTGACAGATAGACTGAGACGGTCTCATAATGGCTTATTATGCGTGATAAAACCTCTATTCCTTTCCCGTCATCGTTTCGATATTACTACCAATTGCCATACTTCAGGGCAATAATGGCTGATCACGCTTACGTGGAGCACTTGACGCCGCTGGACCTGCTTATGCCCAGGACCTACATTCGGGCTCTCCTCGTTTTCCCAACGGCGAATTCCAGCCCCCAAATCACGCAGGAGCTCCAACGCGGCCTCGAGAGACTTTCTAAACAAGTACCCTGGGTCGCCGGACATGTCTCTCATACTACTCCAACCAACCAGAAAGCGTCTCTTGAGATCCGATACCATGCAGCCAAGACACCAACCCTAGAGGATAAAGGCCAGATAACGGCCTCACACGCCAATCTCTCTTCACATGATATGCCCATGAAAGCCATCCCACCTGACGTGTGGCCAACACTCCCATGCCTGTTCGGTAACATCCCTTCCAAGACAGGGGGCCGCGTTTTCGCTGCCAGCTTCTTCCGCTTCGCAGATCATGGGGCCGGATTATGCATCTGCTTGCATCACAATGCTGTCGATGTAACTGGGTTCGCGGAAGTCGTTCGACTATGGGCTAAGAATGTTGTCCAACCAAGCCAAAACGATCACTCTTACTTGTCACAAGGAAGTGGCGATAGGCTCGTGCGGCTTTCCAAAGCTCTTGCGCCTGACCTGCAGGAAATTTCATCGCTTTCATCGGAACGTCTCCTCGGACTGCACCCGGAACACTCAACACAACCACCCGTCCTACCTGATACATTTCCGCCATGCACGTCCAAAGCATTCAAGATCTCTATTCACTGGATCGATGTGCTCAAAGAGCTCCTCCATAAATACACACAGCGTCGATTGACCACCAACGTTATCCTCTGCGCGCTTATATGGACATCAATTACTCGTGTGCGAGCCCAACGCAACCCCACTCTCAGAGACCAAACAAGTCGCCTAGTAACAGCTATTAACGGCCGATCGCGTATCACGGGGAATTTAAACTCTGTGTCCGGGGATCAACAGTACTTGGGAAACGTTGTGCTCTACGCCATGGCAAGCTTCCCATCTGCTAATCTCGCCACGGCCGATGAGGATCCAATACGCTCACTGGCCACGATATGCGACTGTATCTCAGATTCGCAGTCATCCTCAACAATCAACTCGCGGCATATTGCTGAAACCTACCGGCTTGTGGATTCCATGGGAGACTATAGATCTTTTTATGCAGGTTGGGACTTGTTCGGGTCTCGTGATTTTACCATTACAAGTTGGGCAGATTTGGATCTATATAATTTGGATTTTGGGCCTTTGCTTGGGAAACCGGAGTTTGTTAAGTTGCCCTGTATTGAGGCGGATGGTGTGGCTATTATTCTACCCCGTCGGAGGACGGGCTCTGATGAAATTCTCGAAGTGATAGCTATGCTGCGGTGTGATGATATGGAGTCCTTAGAAGGAGATGGTATGTGGCAGACGCTAGTTGGTAGTGGTAAGAGCTGCGATGCTTGATTTAGATAAATTTGGTGACCTCGATGTACAAATACCAGCAGTTCTGTCTCATTTGCATGCGCTTTAGGTCCATTTCGACTCCCCGAAGCGGAACTTCTCGCTTTTCGTCACGGACCATTCCCGACTTCAAAATCGAACCTGTTCCACAAAAACGGCTCACCACTTAGAAACTCATTTAAAAGGTCAGTAGCATACAACGAGGTGGCTCCATCCCCATTATCCATGTCAAGCACATTCTGCAAATCTTCCGCGATGAACATCGATGGGTCACCAGGTGTATCTGGCAGTCTAAGAGAGTCCTCTTGTTCATTGTTTATCCCTACTGACAGTTGCTGTGATTGAAGAAGTTTCTCGGCAATGTTGGTAAAAGTAGCGCATATCTGATATAGACGTTCCGCGCCTTGGGAGACTTTTCGGAACGTCTCGAAGCTGCGAACTACTTGTGTAAGGAGTTCGATGCTCCGAGTGTCTTTTGCAGAAATGGCGTGGAGGAATACCACAAGGAAAGGGGTTAAGGATGAGAATAATAGAATCCTGGTGGTACTCGGTCAATGGAATACATAGAAGAACATGTGAGGGGGGAAGTACGGACCAATTGAAGTATTCACCGTCTGAAAGAAGCTTTGAGCTTTGGTATTGAGGAAATGAGTTGAGATGGGCCAACAAGCTATTACGGGCGGCGTTGAAGCAACAAGAGCTTATTTGTAGTTCCTCTCCTGTCGTTGAGGATGCATGGAGAAGCAACGTCAGGGTGGAGTAGAAGGATATATCCCAGTTTGTTCTGGACATGTTGAAGACTTGGAGGTTGTTGACCCCTTCCGGATCGATCTGGATAATATTAGTAGCCACTCTGGGGTTGAAAAGGCATTAATAGTCCCATCTCACCTTCTTAAGTTGAGAATGCCATTGTTCCATATCAGATGCAAGATCTTGAATAAGTTGTGTCCGCTCAGATGGATCCTTAATTGACGTTGCAGGATTGTAGAGATTAGTGAATACTCTGTCCTGAAATTCCGCCATCCTGATTCCCATAATGAAAGATTCATCCCATGCTCGGCGACTCGGATCTATTGATATCGCAGGATGCCGTACGTCAATCTTAACACCCTGCATATTGGAGACACGGCCTAACAAGAGAGCCATGTTCTTATCGAAGACGTATATTGTCCAGAAGAGTCTTCTTATGTTATCCGCCTTTCCAGATAGAATGTTCCTATAGGTCGTCTCACGGTGATATCCAAGTGATTGACAATGCATTGAAGCGGCAGAAACTAAGGTCCAGTATAATGCGGGCTTTGCTTCGCCCTGGGCTTTGACCATCTGCGTTACTGTTACTTCATGCTGCTAATTCAGTGTGTGCTGAGCCAGTCCAAGTAGGGGTAGACAGCAAGGGTATACTTACACCCATTGTTAAAGCAAGTATATTTTCGAAGCTGGGGACAGCGAGTACGTCATATGTTTCTAGTGTCGCTGCGAAGACCTTCTCACAATGATCAAGGTGGGTGGTAAGGTCAAATCTCTGACGGAGCTCATCATTCATTGCTATAAGCTCCTTGAGGACAAAAAATAGGACACCATGCATGCTGGCCACCTGGCCGACAGATGCCCGGCTCGGTCCAGAAAGGACGCTTCGGCAGAGATCCTCAACCACTTGAAGGTCACTTATTGCATACGAAGACAGAAAGATAGGATGACGGGCTGGATTCACGTAAGTCTGCAGACAAAGAAGCTTCGCAACCGCGAACTATGACCCGTATTGAAAGAATGTGACGTACCTCTCATTCTCCGCAAAAGGCTGGTGACCAACGTAGCTGGAAGAGGTTCTACTTGTATCGCATGCTGTGATGATTTGCTCAAGTAAAATCCTTTCCTGGATAACTCTTGTGAATGGTAGAGACTTTTCCGTATATGATCAATGGAGTGCCCAATATCTGGGATGTTGTTGCCTGTAGAAGCAGAGAGAGCCGTAATATGAGCACTATTACTTGCATGAAGTGACTGACTAGCGAAGGAAGTATCTCCTTCGAAGGCTTGACAGCCTTCCACACGGCCAGGATCTGCCGATATGATATTCTCATTGGACACACTTTGGACCCCCGAGCTGAGTTCTGGACTTTGCAATGCAGCGAGTCTAGACTCGACTTCACGAAAACGCTTTTCGAGGCTGTCTACAAGACCCTCCCTAGGGGATGTAAGTTCAGTCTGAATTTAATGACCAACCACATTATATACTTACAGATGCGCTATTCTATCTGCCTGGAGCTGATTCCTTGACCTGTCGTTCGGATGTCGACATGTTATCTTGGATGCTTGGCAGTTTGAACACGGTATTTTGCGGTCGCAGCGAATCTTCAGGAATATGATCTTAGCTCCCATCATCTTACTATGGCTCAAACAGTATGGCACATACTTTGCGTACTTTACACCCCTCGCACTACGTCATGTTAGAGTGCGAGCGAAGAGACGGAACTGGGGGGCTTACGGCCCGTGGAACTAACGAGAGCCGATGCCGTCTCTCCTGTATGGTTTCTTGAGCGCTATGTGACGACATGGTAGATTCTGCAGTGATTGAGATGTTGACAAGTACTTCGTGTTGCACGAAGAGAGTTGCAGGTTCTGACCCTTCGGATCCGCGGGCCCGCGGGTCCGCAGCTCCGAGGTAGCGGATTGTTGCCACTCTTGGCATCCTGAAGGGTACCAATCTTAGCACAACCCGAATTTTGATCTTGCTATGCGTTACATCCTATGGTGGCTTATTTTAGTTTCTCCAATTTAAACCCCCACAGATGCTGGGCAGAGTGGCTTTGATCAATCTGGGTGATTTTTATTTCGGACATTTTGGACCGCACGTCCGAAGGCCCGACAAGTGAATATATATGACTGAAATAGGTAGAATACCCTCATGATTACACCATGAGACACAAACAAGTGATCCTAGTAATCCATCGTCATTCCATATACAATTCCATCTTCAATAATTGTCTCCTGAATATAGAGAACTAACATGTCGGTCAGTTATATTCACTCATCGCTGGCACAGGACAATCGGCGACTGACTCATCCATTACTTGAACTTTAGCTTCCGTCCGGGTATGCTGCCGATTTTCCTGTCTCTAAAATTTGACCTCGATCATAACATTGATTATACTCTCAATAGTGTCAGCATAACTGCTGAGTGCATCAATGCTTATAAAGAGCTTTTATACAAGAGGGGAGCAGGTAAACCTGCCTTCGTTATTTATAAGATATCCGACGACGAACAGTCTATTATGGTGGAAGAATGCTCCCCAGAAAAGAACTACGAAGCATTCCTACAAAGACTTACGTCTGCGCATGATAATGACGGGAAAGCCGCACCTCGGTACGCCATATATGACGTGGAATATGACTTGAACGAAGACGGCAGGAGGTAATTGAAGTCCCCAGAACCAGGCAAAGCAATGTGTCTTTGATATGCTAATCTTCATCAGAGCGACAACTGTTTTTATTAGCTGGATGCCAGATGTGACGCCTACTCGCGTAGGTCATCGTGCTCTTGTATCTTCGACTTCTTCAAGTGTTCCCACTGACATGATCATAGATCCGTATGCTGTACGCTTCTACAAAGGAGCAGCTTCGAAGGGCCCTCGATGTCAAAGTATCCATTCATGCTGACGACTTACACGATATTGAATGGAAAACTATATTGCGAGAGGCGAGTGGTGGACGACTCTAAGCTGATCATGACCCTCCTCTTTAACACCATGGAGGCCTGTTCAGCCCATGCTCTTCTCAATTATTGGCACCGATATAGACATGAGAATATATTATGACCCTCTGTCTACATTAGATAATGTGCTATCTGCACCTACAATCAATGGAAGTCATGGTCAGTCGTGGCGGGATCAACGGTGGACCAATGGCTCCTACTAGAGTTGTACGGGAACATTAAGGTAATAGGTAAAGAATAATGATTAAGCGTCCTCAAGCCTATACAGTTCGAACAACTTGATCAATGGCGTAAATTATAAGAAAGTGGCCCATACCGCCGGTCATGATATGATAAGAATGATAGTACTTTCATACACGATTTTTGGAATATGCCGTATCAAGTATCAAACGCCTATGGGATACACCTCCTGGATGATTCAAAGGCCTCCAAGACATTGGATAAGTTACCCGTGACGCGGAGACAAGTTTAATCGATCTATCCTTCCGTAGCTGTGCTATTGATGCCAACAACCATACCGAGATGATGAAGAATCCTGCCTCTAGTGGCATCGGTATTACTAGAGGCCGTGGCACCATAAATATGTTTCTTTGTGACTAACGGTCGAAGCTTGTGTATGATATAGTTATGCTCTCTTATCTCTCAGTTATACACTTTGGCATCCAACCCTGGGAGGATCTGCAGATCCTTGTCTCCGTAACTGTACTTCCCATCCTCGGAGACCTTCGCCTCCCGCGTGCGTCTCTGCTGCTGAGTCTGCCGCGCCTTGACCCACTGCTCAGTAGTCAAATGCTGTCCCAACTCCGTAAACACGTTCTTAGTGAGCCCGAGCCGGTTAAGCAGGGGACTGTTCTTGATCGGATCCAAGACGACATGGTTGTTCGGCCTAGTCAATATAGTTAGCATTCTAATTAACACTGAAAGGAAAAGGGGCAGTCTTACCTGGCAAAGTACAAAACACCCAACCGATCCACATGCGCCTGATCAGCAGGAGGAACATGAACCCGATGAATGCTCGATTTGATCAACCCGCCCGTAAGCGCAGTCAACGCATCACAGGTATTGATAGTAATGGTTCCATCCTGCGGGCGGACCCATTTCCACTGTCCTTCCGAGTTGAGGATCTGCAACGCGGCGACGGGTTGTCGGAAGAGCAGAGTCACCGTGCCCAAATCGGTATGACCGGGAGAGTATAGACCTCCGACCTTCTTGTTGAGTTCGGCACCACGTGCGGCGTAGTGCATGTAGCGGAGGTGGTCCTCGCCCTTTACATCGTACTGGTGGTCTCGGACGAGTTGGTCTTCCTCGGGTAGTTCGAGCAGAATGGCGAAGAGGCGGAGAAGCTTCTCGACTACTTCTGTGTGGCATTTCTGTTTTATTCTTTAGTGTGAGTTGTTTGTGGAGAGACGGTAGAGAATGCTTACCCGGCTGAATTGCTCGATTTCGTCAATATTGTCAGCCAGGATTGCTGGTTGCTGGCGCTGATGATACCCATCGAATTTGGGGATGTTGTAGACTTGGACGTTGTCCTTGATTCCGTTGCCAAGACTGGATGTATGAGCATGATAGCATGGTTACAGATATCGACGACCTACATTCGGTGCCCAGCTGGCCGGTAGCCGTTGTATTCTCCTCTATCCAGATCGGCGCTGCTGTGGTACTTGAGCTTCTCTTCAAGTGGAAGAGCGTAGAACTCGCGACCCAGAGCGAACTGGCGGTCGATTTCCTCTTGGCTGATGTTGAAGTTCTTGACGTAAAAGAAGCCTTGAAGCGAAGTTAGGCCAGGGTAAAAATGTGATGCAAACTACTTACCAACATGACGAACAGCGTGGTCTAGCTGATCAACAAGCGATTCCTTGCCGCCTGGCTGATCATATTGGCTCAGGTCGAGCGTGATGAGTTCGGCCCAGTCGACTGGTTCGTTAATTATTTGAACACATAGCAAGCCGGAGGAATCACTTACGGTCTTCCTTAGTCACTGGGACGTGGTCGTATCTGTCGATAAGTCTTGCGGGCATAGTGATGAAAGTTGTTGCAACAGCGTTCACGAGAGTATTATACGGACCCTATCGAGCTGCGAAGGTCCGAGTAGTTATGTCCAAATCCCAATGCAGCGTATACTTTAACCCCGCACGGCATATGTGACGAAAATAATCAGCAAAGCACGCAATTCTTATCTAGCGTCGCACATCCAATTCAGAACGCACGGTGTACCGTGTCTGAATCCTGTCAAAGATAGATAAGGGCATTTCTGCTAGGATTGTGGCACGCCATCCCGCACCCGGATGTTGCATTCTGCAGCTAACAGGTCCGAATAACCCTATCAGATTGTGGTGCTTTCCCATCACGACAATGAATGGCATAATGGCAAATATGTCAACACAGCCCCACTCTATAATTCTATCATGAAGAGGGGTATTCAATGATCAGATAAAGATCTTGCCGAATCATGGAACATGCCCCTGTCAGAGGAAGTTTTCACCGGAGAATTGTCCGATACAAGGAGACAAGGGCTCGGCAATATGTCCGGCAGCGACTTAAAGAGACAGAAAATAGGTGTTTGGGGTCTTTTCAAAGAGGTGTTCAATTGGTACCCATCTAATTACCCGACAAATGAGCGAAAGTACGTTGTCCCTCTTGGTTTGGCCATAGGGTACTGATCATCTAGGTTGCTCTTCAAGCTGGATTTATCCATCCTGGTATTCGCATGTCTATGCTGTAAGCTGCCCCCGTGGATAAATACAGAGTATCTATTGACTGTAATTAGTTTTCGTGAAGTACTTGGGTATGCCTGTCGGGAGACTGCAACCTCCACCGATGCTAATATATTCCAGACCAGACCAACATCAGCAACGCGTATGTCAGTGGCCTAAAGGAAGACTTCAGTCTAAATGGCAACCAACTTAACTATTTCAACGTCTGCTATTACACTGCCTACGTTGTATTCCAAGTTCCTGGTCTGCTGTTGATGTCGCGACCGACGCTGTATGTTACTGTCCATGATTCGGGAGAAATACATAACTAAGAGGATAAGGGCGAGATGGCTGCTCCCTTCCCTTGAAATTCTCTGGGGTGTATGCACCTTTGCACAAAGTCGAGTCACAAATGTCAGCCAGCTATATGCACTTCGATTTCTAGTTGGCATGTTTGAGGCGCCTGTCTTTGCTGGAACACACTTTATTCTCGGTAAGGTCGTCAGCACTTCAGCTATCATTCTAATGGGCTAACTGATACTGGAGGCTCATGGTACTCTGGCCCCGAACTTTTCAAACGAGCTGGAACGTGGTTTATTTGCAACGCGCTTGGAACTATGGTAAGCGGATACCTGCAATCCGCAGCCTACACCAACCTATCCGGAGTGGGCGGCATGCCTGGATGGAAGTGGCTGTTTATTATAGACGGAATTTTCACTATTCCCGTCGCCATTATTGGCTTTCTAGTGTTCCCGGGGATTCCGGATTCTCCACGACCCTTCTTCCTGTCAGAAGATGATATCGCCTTGGCCAAGGACCGGGCGCGAAGAGCAAACATCCGTCGTCCGGGAAGGATGACACTTGATGTCTTCAAACGTACACTTAAGCGCTGGCATATCTGGGTCTTCATCCTCTGTTATGCGTAAGACAGGCTTGACTTTCAACTTGGGCAAAAGCTAATCTGTTGTGTCTTAGGTGCATGATTATATCTTCTTATCCTACCTCTTATATGAACCTCTGGCTAGAGGCAGAAGGCTACTCAGTGCCACAGGTCAACAAGCTGCCGACAGTGACCTACGCGATCAATATCGTTGCTTCGTGGTTAGGGACCACGCTTGCTGCAATTTATCCATCATGGCTTATTTACACTATTGCGTCCACATGCTGTTTATTCTCTTCGCTGTGTATGATTATTTGGAACATACCAAAGGCCTTGAAGTAAGTGTACATCTCACATGCGTATATTGTCCTGCTGACAGGATCATAGGTTTGTCGCATGGTACCTCTTTGGCGCGGCCGGGTGCACAAGTCCTATTCTATATTCGACTGTTAATACAATTGTAAAGGATGATTCTGAAGAACGGGCGCTCATCATGGTACCTCAATAGACTATCTGGATAGCAGACAGAACAGAACACTAACTATTGGCAGGGCTCGATGATGACTTTCGGCTATTCCTTTCAAATATGGGTTCCATTGCTTCTTTTTCCTACTGCTGGTCCGGACGGTGCTCCGCGGTGGCGAAAGGGGTGGCCCGCCGCATTCGCTTTTTTCTTTTTATTGTGGGCGGGGTTCATTGCAGCAACATTGATATATAGAAGGTAGATTAAGTATACCCAGTTTCCCATTATATTTTCTAACGCAAGATCCAGAGAGCAGAAAGCAAAAGAGGTACTATATAGTGGTCCCGAAATAGAAAGTGGAACGGAGGATGGCGAACCGATTGTGGTGGAGGTCGATTCTAGTGTTAAAGACAGAACTTGATGTTCATAGGTAGCATCGGCGTCAGTCATGCGAGAATTGAGACCGTTAGGGCGAAGGAATCTGGACTTCTCAGCACATTTGCGGCGAAATATCAAAGCTTGACGAGGATAAAAGGATGTGGTTAGATCTCCGGACAAGGGTACATATTGCGCCAGTACCAGCGCCAGATATACTCCTCCACTTTGGCAATGTCCCTGGCCTCCCGAAACGCATCATATCCACGGAAACTATCTGCAAGATTGACTTCATACGCTGAAGCCATCGCAGCCTCCGCAGTGCTGCCTGCGGCCCTCGCAGCCTTCTCAACCATAGATTTGACCCGAGCAAAGGGAACCCCTTCCTCATAAAAGTGCCCCAGCACGCCTTTCACTATGTCAAGCTTGCCTTCCGTTGCTACCTTCACGAATAGGTGTTCACCAGACCGGTCGACACCAAACGGATCGGCGCCTTTATGCAACAGAAACCTAACATCCTTCGCTGAGCAATACATGAGGCCATATATGCCACTGGAGATATAGGGTATATATGTTTCCGGATATCGTAAATTGATATCCAATCCGTACATCAGCAGGAGGTCAACAACTTCATGTCTAGGGTCTCCACCCCAATACTTGCTTATTGCCTTGACCAGAAGCCTGCGAGGAACGTTGGGATTGAATCCTGCTTCAAGAAATTCCTTTATAATTGTAGTGTCACCTTGCTCTACAGCTTCCTCAAATGCCAACTTATGGTTGGCGTTTCCCGGATCAAGTTTGACTTCAAAATGCTGCCGAATCAGGTGGAATACCTTTGCCCCCCAGCAGACAGCTCTTTTGATAGTGTGTCGTTCCCATTCGATGGGCTCAGGGAAGGCCTTTACCACCCGAAGTTGGTCCGCTTCAACCAGGTTTCTGTTCACGAGAAGCTGAATGATATCATACCGTGCCTGCGGCGTCAATTCTCCCGCATATAGAGCGGTTGCTTTTTCGAAGGCAGTCTTGTGACCCTTTGGGAACGGGTTGGCTCCTCTATCGAGCAGTAGCTCCACAACTCTCGTGTGTCCTCTTCCAATTGCATTATGGAGAGGTGATCCGCATCCTTCAGTCCGCCTCCAAAATACTGAGTCGTTGGGATCTGCACCACGGTCAAGTGAAAGTCTGATAACATCGAGATGGTCTCCCATGACCCCCTCTGCCATACACGAGGTCACAATATCTTTCCAAATTTCTGGCGTAATACCTGGGTGTGTTTGTATCCAATCAAGGTCTAGCAACCGCTTTAGGAGACATATATTGCCACCGCGTGCCGCACCAGTAGCGAGGCGCATAATCGCACAGATATTTCTTTCAGTTATTATGTTATCAACATCTATCTGTCGAAGCAAGTAACCTGCTTCTTCAGAGGACGTGACTGACAAGCGGCCGACGTGGTACAGAACGTCACTACTTAAATACATGTCAGAAGGACGGTCCGTGCAATATTTCGAGAAACGATACGCCATATTGAACTCAGCACCGTGGTCCAAAAGAAACTTGACCAGTGGCATATCATTTCTCTGCAGGGCCTCGATTACCATATCGCGAGAATGGTTCTCGGGAGCAGAAAAGTAGTCCTGTGGTATGTCGGCCCCCACAAACATACGTAAAATAGGCAAGTTCTTACCACCAGCGATATTGAATGCCGACCTGTCCCGGTACGATAAGAAGTTCGGTGTTCGGGGATTGCAACCATGTTCCAGTAGCAGTTTCACTATTCCATAGTGACCCCTCCTTGTGGCCTCAGATAGAGGCTGCAGAAAGCTTTTATGTTCCGCGGTGTATTCCAACTCCGTTCCGTGCTCGATCAGTACTCGGACAACTTCTTCATGGCCGTCCGATATTGCGGACAGAAGAGGAGTGTTTTCGTAACAAAAGTCATTCCGGGCTTTTCTCGCGTTCGGATCGACACCGAGCTCTATGAACATACGAACTAGGTCCGCATTTCCCCATCTCGCCGCAACCTGTATGGGTTCACCCTGACAACATATCTTAGGCTGGAAGGATGGGGAGACCCCGGCTCGTAAAAGCCTGCGTACACAATCCGTATTGCCTTTTAATGTTGCATTTCGCAACGCACCGCTTTCGTGGGAGTAGATGTGGCTGTTATCAAAGATATTTCGGATGGTCTGGTCGATCGATATGCTGGTAAGATTGTAAAGCCGACGACTAGTCTGTGAAAGCGCTGTCAAATCGCGGTTGTAATCTATGTAGCTTATTATTTCTAGCAGGGTTTCAGTGGGGAGTTCGTTGAGATTGGCCATGGTGATTGGTGAGTGCAACCGATCAATGTAGTAGGTCAAGAGGCCAGCACGTGATGATTGATTCACCCAGATGGCTTGCGATGTCCGACTTTCCTGTCTAGATTGCACATATGCGTCTGCATGTTCTGGCTTTATATGCTTAGTGATGTGTTGTTATTTCCTTCATGGCTGCATGTGAATGAAGATGTCGTCATTGTTCATGTCAAGGTAACGGCCGCTGCAGTTGATGTGGCTATGAAGGACAAGAAAAGCTTAAATTCATGGCTTAGAAGCTGAAAGGTTATCTAAGGTTTCCCACTACCCACCGAACAATCGCTATCATTTTGGTAGTGCACATGTCCATTTGAGCTGCGCTTCAGGGTTGGAGATTGCCAATCTCGACATTAATTCAACTGGCGCAGCTATTATACTCCTTTGTTAGAATCTACGCCATTATCGGGTATCGCCTGTATTTCAAAGTCGTCTACCATGGGTAAAGCGGTGAGGCCCATTGTTTATCGAGGAGTCAAGAACGTTGGGTCATAGGACAAGAGAAGGTATTCCACTATCTCCCGACGCTTGACCAAAGAAAAGTGTGGTTCGTCGTGAGGGCGATGAAAGAGTGTTAAGATAATCCGAACCTCTAACCCAATTCTAAATTAAGAGACATTCCACCACCCTCCATTGTCCTCCATTGAATGTCCCGGGATTCGCAATACACCAGAAACTAGCGAAGGTACAATCCGTATTTAAATTTTCATGGGGCGGAAGCAACTTTATACATATCACGATGAAGAGATTTAGAACCATACTTTTGTGAAGAACAAAGGGCGATGGTCCTGGACCGAGGCTGCTGTTGACAAAGAAAGAAAGTGTAATGAAAAGCCTAAATCCGTCTAGTACTGCTGCAAATTTCCATACGCCAAGGCATGTTGCGCTTGGGCGAGCCAAGCATCTTTCAGAAGGGCATATTGCTGCTACTTGCATCGTGTGTGACCGGTAGCACCTGGGATCGGTGTGCAGAAGTGGTAAACATCGTGATCCTGAGGAGTGATTGGGGCGTATATAGGTAGATAAACATGACTCCCTCAGGTTGCATGGGTTCTCATATTATATAGTATACAGCCACTCTACAGCCCTTTTGCGACAGAGTCTAGATATGCCATATTTAGCATTAGTCCCAATCAAAGTTTGTCGGAAACCAAATGAAGACATCTGAAAAAAAAGCAGGGGGATGGGAAAGAGAGTCGTCGTTAGAACTTTCATCTTCATTACCGTACCAATTTTGCAGATAGCCCTAGTGCTAGGAGCTTGCCTAACGTATCAGCATTCAGATGACCTGGCCTCAAGCCTCACTTCATAGCGCACAATGGTAAAATATAGGCTGCGGGGCCTGTCGCGGTACTGTAAAATTAGCAGCCTGTTGATCCCGGTTGTCACAAAGATCAGGGTATATTTCAACACCCCTATCTCATGTCCTGTTAATCTTGTCGGAGTACTCCGCATAATGCTGGTAATGCGATAGCGCAACAAACCTCCTGCGCCACTTTGTTGTGGTTCCAGTTTTGTACAGTATATAATAGGGTGCTTCCTAGGCAGTCATTCTACCGGAAGTTCTATCTTATTTTTTCACGTTGCTTCCTTCCTTCATCCATCAAACTCATACCAGTAACTTGGCGTTAAGCATTGTGTGCAAGATGGAAAGGAACATACGAACAAAGTTCAAGGACGAGCCTGATGGCTTCTCTTCATCTGCAGGAGATGCCGTGCCTCGAGACCGTGCGGATTTGCAGACTACTCATCAGGCTTTTTCATCACCTTCGCTGGTACCAGTCTCACGAGAGTCCCAAAATCAGGCACTGCCATTTCAGCAACACTATGATAGGGATTCTCGTCTCGAAAGACTCCCACCTGAACTTCGAGATCATGTCTTGTCAATCCTGGATCTGGACGGGCTCAAAGCTCTGGTACAGGCTTCGCCTGTCTACCATGGTCAGTATCTCTCAAATCGGAGGCACTTGCTCGCCAGTTGTATGGATGCAACATTGAAGACCGCCACTGTCGAAGCTATAGTTTGTTATGTCTCGGCACGTCTCCAATTTGATGAGAAATACATGCCGGACGCGGTCCTCCATTGTCTAGACGTCTACCAAGCGCGTCAAGCGTTGCCCAGGTATTCCATAATGGATGATAATCCCACTACGGATGAGATTGCAGACATGGCAGCATTCCACCTTGGTATTGTCCGGCCGCTCATGCAGGAATATATTGCTTGGTCGCTCGGCAATCTAGCCTGGTGGACTGGGACCAGGCCATATAATATAAAGCTTAGTGCAACGGAAGAGATGCGACTGCTGCGGTCCATGTATCGCTTTCAGCTCTGGAGTAACCTATTCCACATCTGCCCTGATACCCAAGACAGACACGGCCCACGACTCGATGGGTGGAAGTTTATGGAGATTCAGTTCTCTTTCTTTGAACCATGGGAAGTGGAGGAGATCTTCTGTATCAAAACCTTCGCAAAGGTGAAATTTGACCATATATTTTCCAGGATTCATCGCGATTTGTGTCCCGGCCCCCCTGCTATTCCTGGCCAGCAGCGGTCGATGCCGGCTGGCTTCTTTGATTTTGACCATCCCTGTAAGTTGAGACCCCAATTTACTCCATTGCTACCTTATTTCAGATTCAACAATCTCAGGATTTGTCCCAGCTAATTTTGTCTCAATTCTATAGTTACGAGGGATTGCCTTCTAAATGGCACAATAGCCCTGGGCCTCAACTTCCTGCACACGGTTTTATTTAAAATCAAGGATCATAATCACCTCGTTTCGACTATGCGAAATCATATCGGACGGCAGACTTTCTGCTTCTTGAACACTGATGACATAGGATTAAACGTCCAGAACAAGCGTCGGAGAAGCAAACCATCTCTTCGCGACAGAAAGCAAGGGCGACGGGATCCTTTACCTTTTCTTGGAGATGTAGTAGTGCCAAGTACAGACACGACCCATCCTCCACTGGCGTGGACCCTTATATGGGAAGGCACATACAGCAGTCTGGTGGGGTACTTTATCAAGGATAAGGTACGGAAATGGGGATACGTTATGTGGGATGCGGCCAGATTGGAGAAGACTGGAGCCAAAGAAGTACTGAAACGTCAGTGGGAGTCTGACTGGCTCGGCCAGGATCCGAGAGATCTTGCAATAACATGAAGTGCATAGTTATAGTTGAAGTTATACATACCTAGCGACAACTATCTTATTCAACATATAGCTTTCTGCAATATAACTTTTGAATACGTATGTCATAATCGGCAGACAGCAGGTTATGAATTATCAAATTTATTCTATGTTTTACAACCCACTTCCCGAGGATTAAAAGCAATGTTGCATCAGCAAAAAGACGGTAAAGTGTCGCTCTGACAATGCAACCTCGTATCCCACCTCATTCAGAAATCGCCAACTGTACTACTTCCGGAGAGTGCTCAAGTAAGCAGCCCAATTTATCCATTTGCTCTTATACCACATACTACCCTCCGAAGGGGAAAAGGCACATGGCATCCCGCACTCGCCCACGGAACCCCAACCCATCACGATGCATCCGATCTCTTACCGGCGATCCAGACCATCCTCAACCAAATGTCAATGATCTAATTATGATCCATCTTTCCCATTACCCCTCATTTCTTTGTATCCACCTAAATATCGTATACTAAGTATACACTCCCCACCTGACAGCCCCATCACGACCGTCTCCCTTCCCTCACCACCATCCCTACCATAAATACCCCAGCGTCCTTCCAAGCAAAAGGAATGTACCGCCCCATCCTCCGACATCCCCTAAAACACCACCTCATCCAAACAATGTCCGCCCCCACCCAATACGACACCATAATCATCGGCTCCGGGCAAGGCGGCACGCCTCTCGCCCGGGCCCTTGCGCTCGCAAACCACAAAACCGCACTCATTGAGCGAGAACATATTGGCGGATGCTGCGTGAATGATGGGTGCACGCCGACCAAGACGATGATTGCGTCGGGGAGGGTCGCGTATCTTGCTCGGAGGGGTGGGGAATATGGTGTTCATACACCGAATACATCTGGTTTTAAAGAGGGGGATAATGGTAATAAAGTGGTGATTGACATGAAGAAGATCAGGCAGCGCAAGAGGGATATTGTGGATTCGTTCCGGGCAGGAGGTGAGAAGAGACTTCGGGATGCGGGGGTAGATGTCATTATCGGAGAGGCAAGTTTTGTGGATGCGAAGACGATAGTTATTATGGACGGGAGCAATGGGAATGAGAGGGTTGTCAGGGGGGGCAGAATTGTGATCAATACGGGCTGTCGGCCTGGTAAGGTTATGCTTGAGGGACTGGAAAAGGTTCCGAGTGAAAAGGTGCTGGACTCTACGTCTATTATGGAGCTGGGAGAGGTGCCGCGGCATTTGGTGGTCGTTGGGGGTGGGTATATAGGGGTGGAGTTCGGACAGCTATTTAGGAGGCTTGGGGCTAAGGTGACGGTGCTGCAGAGAGGAGAGCAGTTGCTTCCCAGAGAGGACAGGGAGTTGGCAGACATGTTGCTGGAGATATTCCGGAACGATGGAATCGAGGTCTGCCTGGAGACCACCCCGGTGCGGTTTGAGAATGTCTCTGAGGGTGTGTTTGATGTCGCAGTCGAGACACGGCAGGGGAGGGAAGTCGTCAAAGAAGCCACGCATATACTCTTTGCAAGTGGGAGGGTACCAAATACCGAGCGACTGAATGCTGCTGCTGCAGGCGTAAAGATGGATAAGAGAGGTTATGTCGTGACAAATGAGTTTTTGGAAACATCTGCGCCGTCAATCTATGCCATTGGAGACGTCAAGGGCCCGCCATCCTTCACGCATATCTCATACGACGATTTCCGAGTACTCGGGCCCACATTGTTGGAGTCTACATCTACATGTGAGCGGCTCTCGATTCGAGATCGAATCGTCCCGTATGTCGCCTATACGGACCCTCAGTTCGGTCATGTCGGGCTGCATGAGCAGGAGGCAAGGGAAAGGTGGCCGGGCCGGAAGGTTCTGACTGCGCAGATGCCAATGAGCTATGTGGCCAGGGCGTTGGAAACGGATGAGACAAGAGGTGCCATGAAGGCTGTGATTGACGGGGAGACTGGACAGATCTTGGGATTTTCATGCTTAGGCGTTGAGGGCGGCGAAATAATGAGTGTTGTGCAGACGGCCATGATGGGGAATCTACCTTATAAAAAACTGCAAGATGCCGTGTTTGCCCATCCAACTTTTGCGGAAAGCTTGAATAACCTGTGGGGATTCCTGAAATGAGTACGTTACTTGAAGAAGTCTGCCCATATGGTGTGAATCTTTTGTACCCATTCCTCCACATACAGTGTGAGCACCCAATCAAACCTATTTCCTTGACAATACAGTTTATTTGTAACCAATGCGGGCCGAGTGTGGATTCCTCAATCAAAAAGCGCATCATTGATCTTGTGATGTGTTGTTGACTCCTTGTTTGGGGCTGAAAGCGGGTGGTTTCGGATCCTTCTGACTCACGGTAGCCTCCCCCGAGATCACCCGAGATTTGGATATCTTGACCAGAGCAACTATATGTCTTATTTTCACTTAAATACTTCGGATTGTTTCTCAGTATCCAGTACATGCTGATTATCATAAAGAATCTTGAAAACTGAAGTTCACAACAGACTTCCCCTGTTCACCTCCACATCGCTTGGGTTGCCCGCTGCTCTTTTACCTGAAACCGACGAAACCCTTCCACCACAATTGTCTCCAGCATACCATTTTAATTCCTCTCTTTATTCTCTCATGGCAAACTTCATCCGACATCGACCCCTCCTGACAGGAGCGCTCACCATAGTAACCGTCAGCAGCGCGGTCGCCTATGTCACCAAGCGACGACTCAACCAGTCATGCCCGACGATTGCAATCACAAAACTCACAAAGGCAAGCGCATGTCGCAACCTAATTGAAATACCATCTGAAGAAGCCACGCCGACACCATTGGGCGTTACAAAAACAACTCTGCTATCATCATGGTCAGGCGGCGACAAGACCTACTGGGTCCCATCCTTTGTAGCAGTCCAAGCAGAGGTGCCTATATCGCAACTTTCGCAATATGGGCTGTTCAGTGATGATGGCAAGGATGACAAGAAGCAAGACTTGCATAGTCTATCGAAGAATCTCGTTGCTGCATTTGTAGATGCACGCGCGACAGGTTTAGAAACATCGGTCTTGGACAGAGAAGTGCCGCCGTTATCCTTTGCCACTTCTTCTCGTTTATTTGGACGCCCAAGCGAGATGGGAGCGTTCATGCTTGGGACCTGGGATTCGGAGCATGGGATGAATGTCCGCCCATCGGACTTGCCTTCTGATGCTCCGAAGCCGGTCACGGAATTTTGTTCTAATGAAGAAGCTGTCAAGTATGGAGGTGCTAAGGATACAGCTGGTGCTGTGATGTACTGGATGTTTCCAAAAGCATTGGTCGAAGGAGTTGACAAGGCTGCATCATATGGCCTGCCGTGGCGATCGATGGAGGGTGGATTTCAGGAGTTCATTGTTGAAAGGGTATCGGATGACAAGGCGAGGATAACATATGTCACTGTTGAATGCACTAATTTGCATCCTCTTGGCCAGACAGAGCGGGATTTCAAGATGTTGCCTTGGCTGCTTTATGAGGCGCATGTTCTTTATGCACAAATACTGTGGTCGAAGACTTTGAGGCAGTTACAGCGATCGCAGACGACTGTGATATAGATGTGTTTAATTAGTTAATGTAACCACTCCGCTTATTACTAGTCCTCTCCACTTGACATCCTTGCCGGTACATACCAGACTAACTTCACATTATGTTGTATCTGAGCAATTCTCATTTTGAATTCCGCTCATCGTCTCTTATTCTTGGGCGCAAAAGATTTCTTTTTCAACCCGCCCCAGATTTCCCCACGCAAATTCAGTCCCTTTTCTTCAACCACCTTAGCGAAATCCTTGTCTTTCTCCATCTGTTTAAGATCAATTCCCAGCGCACTTGCTATGAGCGGGGCAAGATCGTGTGCCGCACAGACTCGGAAGTCGCCACTCTGAGCACGCTTCTTCTTCCGTCTTTCCAGTCGCTCATTCAAGCCTTCCTCTAGCGTTTCTGAGAATGTCTTTCCGCTGGTGTCTGTAACAATGTTCTTTATTTTCTCGGCTTCTTCTGGGGAGAAATATGGTTTGTCGATGTAAGACGAGTCTGTGACTTTATCCAGACGCTTCTTGGACGAGGCGTTATCGAAGTTCTTCAGGTCGAAAAGGAGGACGTGGACTCGGTACCAAAAAGTGGGGGATATGGATGATTCTTTGAGGTCTGAAAGGGTGACTAGTGGTGTTGGTGGTGAGCTTGGTCTGGCTTGAATGTCCGTCATCTCGAATGGTTCTGGTGGAGTCGCCATGGTGGAAATTCGGACAGTAAGTTCGCTTTCAGGGGTATTAGACTGCAGTGCTTACTTTATGAAGGTATGGAAGTTCTTTCGGAAATGTAAGGTGGTAGTAACATGACTCTGCTTCTGTCACATTTACGTCGTTCTTTGGTGGCATTATGTCACTTCTACGAGATATTTTTATTTTCCACAATGAGGCAAATTTCGAAGGCAATCCGCCCAGCGCATTGCTCAAGTTTAGCAATAGACTATCTTTGCCAGTTCACTGTCACTTTCATTTCAGATACGGAAGACAAGACAGCTTTTTTCAGGCTTAACCTAGTATGTTATTAACCATTTGGTGATAGATAAGGTTGATTTTGTGGCATAAGCAAGTTCATCTAACGAGTACAGCGAATATATATAATCTACTAGTGCCAGCTCAACGCAATGCCATCTGTCAAGTTGCCATCAGTAGGCTTACTTAAAATTTTATCATCTCCCAGCTCTACTAGCCGAGTATCTGGATTACTATATTAATGAACTGGTGGTCCTCCAAATCAGGTCACTATGACCGAATTCCCGGAGATAATGACCGGTAGCCTGGTTATTGTATCCTATTCTCGGTTGGACCGGTGCACATCACTTCCCTTCAAGATAACCCACGAAATCTTAATCCTCGGTCCCGTAGGCACCCATGGGTCTCCAATACTATTGCAAAATCAGACCACGCAAGCAGTGGAGACGACGCATCAACTTAGTGATGTTTAAGAACGTCTCGTACCTGCATCTCGTCCGGCTTCTGACCTTCCTAAACGCCTAGCGCCCAATTAAGGGATCCTTCCACACCCCACTACCATCATATCATGCTCATCTGGCTATCAATCAAGGTGTGGAACGGTGAAGATTGCGGAGGCTAAGCTTGTTTGAGCTTGGCTGTGCTTGGCTTTGATTCCGCATCCTCTTGGCGTTGCTCGGCAGGGCGGACATAGTTTCCTTTCTTCTGTCTCCTGGGCCGACCTGGCTACTATAAAGCTACAGACCATCATGGTCGGAGTCAAAGAAACCAGGCAGAGTCTTCGAATTATTTTCTATCTCAACTTGAGACCACAATGTCCGCCGCCCTCTTCCTCGGCCTTCTAGGCCTTACAGCCCCCCTGGCTGCCGCAACCACGAGTACCCCAGGCCTCGAGCTCGCGTACTCCCTTGAGCGCGCCACCCAGGGCATCAGTATCTCTGCTGACGGCCGTAAATTCCTCTCTCAGCGTTACTCGACCACGCTGCCCCCTCAAATCGTCGAGCTTTTGGACGACAACTCCACGGTTCTTTACCCAAACACCGCCTGGAACTCCTACAACTCCAGTGACCCTACCTCTGACCCACGCAAGACCTTCGTCAGCATTGACGGCGCCCGCTTGGGCCCCGACGGCCGCTACTGGATTGTCGACGGCGGATCTACCGGTGTCAACGGCTCCACCAAGCTCGTCGGCGTAAACCTCACCACCGACGCCGTGGACAAGTTCTATTACCTCGACGCCATGAAAGCCTCCGACAGCGGCATCGATGACGTCCGCTTCAACGCCGCTGGTGATGTGGCCTACATGAGCGACACTGCCGGTGCCCTACTCGTCATGAACATGACTACCGGCACGGGTGTGCGTGTTCTGTCCACCGACTCTTCCGCCCAACCTTGGTTCCCCATGATGTACAATGGCACTCTGGTCCCCGGATACGGCGCCGCAGGTAGCACTCTTTCCGTTGGACTCGACCAAATCGAAGTCTCGCCTGACGGTGTGTACCTGTACTACCAGCCCTGTAATGGAGGCTTGTATCGCATCAAGACGGCGTACGTTGATGCGTCTCTCAAGAATGCGACTCTCGCATCGACTTTGGGAAATTACGCGGAGCCTTTTGCCCTGACGCCCAGCACTGGTGGTAGTACTATCGACGGAGGTGGAAATATCTATGTTAGTGATACCAACTTGCTGGCTATCTGGAAGGTCACGCCTGAGGGACGCGCGACTGTACTTATTCAGGATGAGAAGCTGCTTTGGACAGATCTTATGTGGGTTACCGCTGATAAGAAGCTTTGGTTGCCTGCTTCGCAGATGAGGCCTGGTGGTGATGGATTGATGGCGGATGGGCCCAACTATATCTTTACCTATCCGATTGATGCGGGACCGTCGCCTATTGATCATGCTTAGGGGAGGTTTTTTTGGTATGTAAATATTGGGGTGATGATGGTTCATAATACTGCGCTGAGAGATAGGTTGTTGAATGTATACTAGATGGTTCTTCGTGGACGAACGAGCTTGTAGTCCTTTGAGTTAGTTGAGTAATATAGTCGATCAGCGAAGACAAAGATAGAGGCAGCTTTTCGACGAGTTTGCCTGACCAACATTATCAAGACGTGAACAGGAGGGCCAGCCCAGCCTTGCGAGCGGCTATCGGGCACCCAGCTATCAGGGAAATCCCAGCTTCCCCGTCCAATGAAAGCCTTTGACATCCCGTCTAGTGCAGCCTTGCAGATGGACTAAACAGAAACAGTATTCTAGCGCTTACAGCCTACCTCACCAGTCTCGGATGTCTCATGCCAACACAGCCATACACGGCTGCTGGTGGTCGCACTTAATCCGAGCAGCACCTTCCTTACGACGGGAGAATAGCGGCTACGGCTGGAGGACTTCTTTATGACGCCCAGTCTTATTAGTACCCAGCTCGATTCCCATCTCACTCAGTATCTTCTGCTACTCCTGCTGCTTTTCTTTCTATGTGTATCCCTGCTTTTCCGATATCGCCCTAGACTCAAACGCGGCCACGCATCGAGATCACGCTCAGCAACGGCGAAGGTTCAGGCTCCACGTCAGGGAGCCTCGACCATTTTTAACGTCAAAGACTCCGAACTTATCTCCTCACATTGGTAGAGGCTGACCCTCAATCCCTAGTTCGACTTGTCCTAGTTCAAAACTTGTGATAAGGTATTGATTAGGCTGCAAATTGTAGTGGGCGGGGCAGCATAGCCTCCGCGCGACTGATTATTTCCTCTTCAGTGCAGGAATATCCCTTTCCTTCAACGCTTGCTCAGTCCGAAGACTCTCTTCCGCAATAACATAGTTTCTATTCTCCAGCAGCATTTACCGTGCTCAGATAGCCCAAATCAATGGAGGCTGTTGGATCCGCATCAGCAATCATTGGGATTGCAACAACCGGGATTCAATGCTCCATCAAGCTACTTACGTTTGCGGACCAAATCAAGTCCGCCCCGGATGAGATCACAAATATTGCTGAGGATATCTCAGTTAATGCTAGTATTTTGCAGCAGTTGGGTGGACTAGCTGACGAGGCGCTGTTTCACACACAAGCAGCACCAGATACCAGCACCAACAACAGCATCAGCAATGGAAAGGCACGGATGGTCAACCCTGAGGCCATTGATTATAGCGATACGGAAGGCCATAAGCCACAGAACGGAATATTTAACGCAGCCGGCTTTGCGATCGTCATGAATCTCGCTTCAAAATGTAACGCTATCTTCGAAAGGCTCGAAGAAGGACTGAGGAAGGCGAGTAAGCAGCTGAGGGCAAATCCTCATAGCAAGGATCCCATCAGACTTAGTCCAGCGGAAATGGTGAAATGGCCGTTTGTCAAGCCGCAAATGGACGCCATGAGGGCAGAACTACGCAATGCAAAGGGGACTCTGATGCTCATGCTTCAAGTTGCGATGCTACGCTACTCGAAGAAGGTCATGGAAGGGTAAGTCTGGCTTAGTACTTATGCTAAATTTGTCTGATGTCTGATGAACGGAATAGACATGCCACGAGAACAAGCCTGATCGCATATTCCCAAGAAGATCTGTATTTGCTGAAAAGATCAATCGTAGCTGCGGAGAGAGCTCGAATTGACATCGCGAAACAACGAGATGATACTTGGGCTAAAAATCGAGCCGCTAGTGTGACCGAGAGGGACAACGTCGATGAGAACTTCCAACCTGCGGAGATCACCACTACGCGACGACCTCCCAGTCCGGGAAACCATGCTAGTCAGGGACTGCCACAGTGCGTTTTTTCTATCTACCTCCAGGGTCATTCTACCGAATACAACTAACTCGATATGGATAGGATACTGTCCGTTGAAGTCAAGGATTTGAACTGCCAGCCCCATGGAGATATTGGTTTCGGTTCTGCACTTATAGAACCAGGTGAAGCAGACAGAGCGAAAGCTGCAGAGGGCGATACCGGTAATCCGACCAAGACTGATCCGGTCAACGAGAGATCTGGGTGTGATCTTCACTCTGTCTACTACTCTTCTGAATACATCAACAGATCATCTATGGCATCTATCAGCTTAGCCACGGATGCGCCACTCGGTGTATACTTATTAACACTCAAGCTTCAGATAGCGCATGGGAAGCACCACGTGCAGTACCGAGTCCGGCGTGTGAAGATCCCACGCCAGGATATTGACTCCCAGATAGATCAGTGGAAGAAATCATCTAATAGTACAGTACTCAATCAGCTTCTTGCTCTATCGGCCGATGAACAACAGGCACTAGATGCACTCAATCTTGATGGTGACCATGACAACATCACGGGCACCGACGCAATCGAATGGATACATTTCGGCAAGCTCTTGCCTGTTGACGGATTTGATGACATTCGAGCAAGAAGTATCACGTTCATCCTGAGGCTGAAGCACCCATTTACCACGATTAAAGGAACAGAAACGAAGTCTAAGGTCGCGAAAATCCAACAGGACATTATAACCGACGCCAGAGTAACTTTCTCCCGAGATCTATATGGCCTAAATTCAAGCATTCTCTGATTGCCGTTGTAGGTACATCGCCACCGTATTTCCCCCGAGAGTCTTAGTGCCTTTAGTTTACGTTGGAAGTGGGATGAGGTAAGTATCAACTTCATCAACTCACATAGTTACGTCTTATGATTCTTCAATAATCTTACTAGATTGATTACGACTATATGCTCATCAACAAATCTATCTTCGATCACTTCGAAGAGGATTTATTGGCGCACACGCGACGGCTCAGGAATGAGACGTATATAGCTCAGCCTGGCAGCGATCTAAAGGAGCTTGAGCTTGACGACCGAAAAAGATATAGTTGTACCGGGCTTTTGCTCCAGATCAAAGGTTTGCTGAAAGCTATCAGGCCCAGACCCAGACTCAAATCCAACGGTTCTAGAATTTCGCCTGGTAATGTGCGGGGGAAAAGATATTATGGAGGGTATCAGGGAGTGGCAGGGTGTGCAGGGGGTCCAGGGGGGGCGGTATGTGGAGGAGGAGGAGGGATGGAGGAAGCAATCGTTGAGCGCACTTCACAAGTTCAAGATTCGGCAGAGGACATCCCCGCTGACCGTCCTGATGCCTACGTTCACAGCGAGGAGGTTGATTCCCATGCCAGTTGCATGCCCCAGGTCCAAGGGGCTCAGCCCAATCTTAGCGATTTGAGACCCCTCGCAGATCTTGTTGAAACTTCGCCTCGGGCCAGCCGCTCTCCTTCCATTTCTTCGGCTGTTGTTGAGTCCCTTCCCCCTATGCCTTCACCCGCTATACATGCAGTGGAGCCAAGTGAGGAGGAAGAAGATATGGAAGGAATAGTGAGCGAGCTTTTGGATAGATATACGGCTGCGTGATAGTCTTGAACATCTTCAATACGATAAAGATTTCCCCTGTTAATGCAACTAAGCAAGGCTCGCAAGGCACACTTTCCAGTATTGGAGGAATGAAAGCAAATATTAAAGAGGATATACACGGAGGAAAATCAAGTTCATGAGGAATAGTCGATGATCTCGGAGAAGCAAAAACCCTTGCTCGGGATAAGAAACCAACATCCGATCCCGAATAGGAAGGCCCGGGATTTCCGATCACAAGGCAAAATAACATGTCTATCACAGAACTTGCATTCGAATAGATTGAAATAACCTGGCTGCCTGCAAAATGACATGGTTCTTGTGATGGAGACAAATTTGTCTATGACGATAAAGTGGAGATTTCATATGCTGGCAGTGTGGGCGTTTGTGGAAACCATCCGAACAAGGCTTGAGGGAATTTCTACTCGATAGCAAGGTAGCCAACGAGGTGCTTCAAGTCTCAATTACGTAGTAATATAGACTTTATTCTGTTGTATGTTAGACCTTTGCGCCTGTCAGAATACAAACAGATACAGACAAGTCTCTTAGAAACGTAAATCAACAGAGCTACGAAAACCTCCCGCGCATCCATACTGTTCGAGTAGCAAACCCGCACATCCTGACCCACTGGTTCATACTATAGAACTTAGAAGGTATATGATCCTGATCCTTCCCGAACACCGAAGATCGACTCGGCCCTTGAAAGGATCGCGGAGCGTAGGATAGCTGGCTTAGTTGATCCTCCGGGCCGACCGTCGCCGGCGATAGGTCATTTTCGGTTCGACGGAAGGAATGTCATTGCTGCTGCAGGCTCAGCCAACGAACTCCGTCGTCATAAATCATAGGGCTTGCTTACCATCCACCAAGCACTAGATAGAGGTAATCGATCCTACGTCGCTTGGCTGCTGAGATGACGTGGGTGAGTGTATATGTGGCAGTCTTATGCGTTCGCAGTCTGACCCGACAATCCGAGTGGTTGTTCAGGTAGACAATGTATTCATAAAGAACATTGGAGATATCAGGTACAACAAGGTAGGACCAAAGACGTTAGTTTTCGTTCTGGAATTGGCTGGATTTTAGTTTGGAGATGATCGGCAGGGCTTATGAACATAGCTCGTAATTGGATGATAGACAATGGCATTCATGTCAATACATTTCACCATTGCCGCAGGGCATCCCTGTGAGGGTAACACTGCATCTGCACTTTGGTTTTGAATCACCAGAGCCGGATGAAACGGCACGAGCGCAGACCAATCCCTTGCCTGTTAGTTATACGGACTGCAGAGACCGTTGACGCGGCGTTGTGCACAGGCCAATTAGCATAACCTGCGACATGTGACAAGTTTATACACGTATTCCAATGCACCCTTGCTCTGAGTTCAGACTTCCATCTGGCCCCAGATCATAGCCGGTTAATGGAGCGGCTGGATAGTTATGCAAAACCCAAATGTCCTGACACAATGGCATAACGCTAATACTTATCCTGCTATTCGCTCCGAGAAGGTCGGCGATCGACATGACCCCTCTTTCGAAGTCTCGATGTGCCGCAGCAGAACTCCACTTTGATGTTTCCCCGCTCGGCCGGTATAGCTCGAATTACGCTCACGAAACTAGAACACATATCAAGGCTTCGAAGATAACACGTTGTAACTATCCCTCATCGGAACATCGGAGCTCAAGAGCCGAGCATCACTTGCATCGGAGTGATGTATGGGGGATGGGCCGAGGCCTTTTCCTGGTAATCGCTTCATGCAGCTTAGCTGGTCTCTAGCGGGTCGTGTGCTGTCTTTATAAAGCATTGGCTGGCCTTGTGCAGCTTTGCCTCGACATAATCAGGCCGGCTGTTGCAACGTCAGGCGACTCCTCTATCGGAGTGAAGGAGATAAATAGCATCCCTAGCCCCGTCACGGCAGTGTGCATTCGATAGCAACCAGCGCTTTTTCTCAGACCGTTTGATTGTCGGTTATTGTTATTTCCGAACCTCAGCATGATTCACGAAAGTATTCAAGGAGCCCTCCAGGGGCATTATCTAACAATAACCGCTGGTATAGTCAGTGCAACCCATCCAGACGTAAGGGGTTGACGGTTGCTAACACGTGTCTTAAATTACCACAGTTAGTTCTCTCCTTGGTAGGAAAATGTTTTTACGAGTTGTACATCAACCCTCTGCATAAGATCGCCGGTCCGAAGCTGGCGGCGATTACCCGTCTGGTGCATATGTATCACTCCCTTATGGGCGATGAGCATGTTTGGGTGAGAAACCTGCATCTGGCCTACGGAGACACTGTCCGGATCTCGCCCGATCAAGTCAGCTACTCGTGCGCCGACGGATGGAGAGATATCTACGGCCATGCCAGTGCAACAAAGAAATCCACTGAAAAGGACATGCGGTTCTTCGGCACCACACTTAATAGAACTCCGGACGTCATTCGTGCCAAAGCTGCCGATCATTCACGCTTTCGTCGAAATTTTTCACATGCTTTCTCGGACAAGGCTTTGCGCGAGCAGCAGCCACTCATCGCTCATTATGCGGACTTGCTCATCGAGAAGCTCCGAGAAGTTGTCCAAGCAGATCCCAAGGCCAAGATCGAAATGGTTTTGATGTACAATCTGACCACATTCGACATTATGGGTGACTTGACATTCGGAGACCCACTGAATCTGCTGAAAGGTACCGGCAACGTGGGGTGGGTGACATCGATCTTCTCCAGTGTGAAGATTAATTCACTCCGACGTGTCGCACGATACTATCCATGGTGTTCTTATTTCTTAAACTCTCTTCTCCCTCGGTCCTTGAAAAAACGACAAGCGTCTCATTACCAGTCATGCAAGGACCGGGTAGACTGGCGGGTTGACCAGAGCCTGGATCGCCCCGACATTTGGGGCCTGGTCATGTCGCAGAAAGAGTCCCTGCGCTTGAGCCGCGAAGAAATGTACGCCAACTCACAACTGTTCATGGTAGCTGGGACGGAAACCACCGCAACGGCGTTGAGCGGCCTCACGTATCAATTGTTGCTGAATCGTGACAAAATGGAGAAAATCACCAAGGAGATTCGAGACGCCTTTGAGCGAGATTCGGACATCGATATGCTGCGGTTAGCACAGTTGAAGTACTTGAACATGTGTATCGACGAGGGCCTTCGGATGTATCCCCCTGTCCCTACCGGGATGCCCCGTCTCACTCCGAAGGAGGGTATGGAGATCTGCGGCGAATATATGCCTGGCAATGTGAGCAGCGCTACTCAGCTTACCTGGTTTTTTTTTTTTTTTTTTTTTTTTTTTTTTTTTTTTTTGCAAGTACGGCCTTGGACTAATATGTACATTCAGACGGCTGTCTCCGTACACCACTGGGCGACATATCGCAACCCACGAAACTTCACCCGGCCAGACGACTTTCTTCCGGAGCGATGGGGTAACGACCCGCAGTTTGCTGGCGACGACAAGGCTGCTTTCCAGCCCTTCTCTTTCGGCCCTCGCAACTGTCTAGGGAAGAAGTGAGTTCCCCTAGCCATGGTGTCAATGCTCTAGTGAGCATGTCTAACATCTGAACTAGTCTCGCCTATCATGAGATGCGACTCATCCTAGCCAAGGTCCTGTACCACTATGATCTAAACCTAGCACCTGAATCAGTGGGCTGGGACAAGCAGAATACGTGGACGCTGTGGCAAAAAAATCGATTGATGGTTCAACTGACCCCCCGGGCTTAGACGGAAGCCATCGATGAACATCTGAGTGTCTAGTAAGGATGGGAGATTGTGTACAGGGTTAGGTTAAGACCTGTTAGTGTCCAGAGCATATGGGATTGACCTATGCCGGCGAAAGTTGATAGCGATGTTCCTTTTTGGAGGTCAATGATGATATGATGATTCTCCCAGTCGTCCTTCTCTACAAACTATCCAATCAACCTCATCCGTTCGGGTCAAAAGGCCCAGGGTAAGTGCCGTCGATACAGCGCGCTCCCAGTCCTTGCCCTAATGGACAAATTTAGTATGTAGTTGTATGTAGTCAAAGTCCTAACAGAATGTATCCGACAGCAGCGTTAAAACCGGCGTGGAAACCAGAATTAGCGAGGCACCCTGCACTTTGCGGATGGCAACAGGACTTCCCGATGCGGAAAGGCACTAGCGGTAAGCCGATCGCGCATGACGTCATGTGGCATTGTGGCAGCGCTTGGGAGGCGACGTGTCCAGCGCAAACAAATTCCGACCGCCAGGGATTCGCGATGCATCATGGGGATTCCCCAGCTTGCTCAGGCTGGGTGGAAGATGATTTCATGCTTCATTATGACATGGCGGTTGCTTGAGTATGACGTCTAAACAGGGTTTTGAGCCTGGACGATTCCCACGGTCGCATAGTCTAGAATTCCCGCTTACTGATCCAGTGTGACGAAGGAATGCTCTAACAAGGCTAATACACGGGATCCTGCGAGATTTGTGTGGTGTCGGCTGATCATACTGATCATTCTTCCTCCAAACAACTCATCCTCCAGCGAGAGAAGCCAGCGTCGCTGTGGATGTTATGCAGCCTCGCCTGGCATCGTTCTGATAATGGAGGAGGGTGCAGAGAAGGGGCGACAGTGTGGTATTCGGTGGTGAATGTTCGGGAGCTCAGTATACTATGTCGTGGATGGCATTTCAGCTTCGTTTCTCATACTTGTATAACACCGTTAACATTTGCAGAAATATTGAACCGAAACTCGAAGCGATAATTTTCCATCAGCCGGTATTTGTTCCAGCTATGTTAATGGACCTGGGGTTTCACCAGGCAGTGTGGTTTTGGTCCATTCCTGCCGCATAAAGGACGCTGGCTCGGAGCTCGGGGCTTTGCGCCGCAGAAGCTGACAAGATACCTTCATACCGGTTTCGCCCAGACTACCAGCAACCTTACAGCAAAGAGGTAGCTCCAATGATTGAGTAGTTGTGTTGTAGTCAGTCACAACCCGCAGAAGGCTAGTCCATGACTGCCACGTCCGTGCTCTGTAAAAGAAGCCTGAAGGGCAAGAGACCTTCACAACATTGCCGTCGATCCTTAGCAAGGACAGCCTGAATGCCACCAATTTATGATCCTTATTGCTACGCTTCACTGCTAGACCATGCGCGGCAGTCTGTCGCAAGTGCAGCTCAACATGGCCAAACCTTCCACCGATTTCTCTGGCTCTGCAGTATCGAGAACTTTCCCCCGTGGATTCAATCTATTTTTTGCCAAGGCAAACTTATTTTGAAGACTTGTGCGTCCGGCTCCACTGCTCTGTTGTGTGGCCGAGGTCAAGGAAAGTGGGCCTTATTGGGCAAGGCATTGTCATGCTGATAGGCTTAATGTGCAGCGACAAAGCGTGACAGGATTCCGACGTTTCAGCTAGTATCGGGAAAGAGTTTTCGATGGGAGACGATGACTGGCACGATCTCGACAAGGGCAGGGTCAGTGACAGGATGTCAATAATATGGGAAATGAGGGGGAAGAGAGAGTGATTCATGTCACGCCAGTTGCGATCGCCTCTTACCAGGATGGGTAGGATTTCCCTTCTGCGGGTGGGTGATTGACTACAGGCTTGCCTCTCACATCCCGGTGATGTTCGGCAATGTAGACAGAAATCCAGACATGCCTGGCAACAAGAATGAAGTACGGAGGAAATACTCGAGCTTACCTGATGTTGATCTAGGCCTCTGATGCTGCCAGATGATAGTATACCCTGTGATTCCGGACAGTGAAGTGAGGGTCACACCTGCCTAGAACGGTCGGTTCTGCCTAAGCTACATGAGTGGAGGCATGACAGCTGCACTAGGCCAGGGTAATACCAGGTCTGGGTGCGCTCGGAGATGCCCACCGATGCAGGAAAGCGGTTGAGGTTAGTGGGCACCAAACGAAGGAATTTTATCGACGGCAATGAAGCTAGGTGATGCAACCCAGACGACGACGGGCATTTTCCGAGTGGCCTAGACTGACACCTGGTGAATTGAATCGACAGGGTTGGACCTCCCCATTTCTCCGAGATGTCGACGTGGACTCAGAATGTTGTGGCCCGCAATTGGAGCTATTATTCGATAATCGCGGACGCTAGGGTAGGGGCCGCGATGGCTCTCTTCCCTCCTAGCCGATAGGGGATGTGGATTGCGATGAATGGAGGGGAAGTGAGAAGGGGGGGAGGGTTAGAAGAGGATGGAGTGAGGGAAAAACAAGAAAAAAGAAAAGAAGAGGCGATTCAAACCCAGCGGCGGAAGGGGATGATAGTACCAGAGAGCAAGCAAACATCCATGCAAAACGGGAAGGATGGGCGTGATCATGGTCTCACATGATCGGCTACTTACTGAATCCAGAAGGTTGATGGCTGAGGTGTCGGTGGTTGTTCGGTGGTTGCTGCATTGAGCTCGGCTGGGCTGGTTGGATTCCCTTCCCATCCATCGACCATGGCTTTTTACCCTTCCCACCGCCAAGGATATCTGGCTCTCCCTTGAGACATTCATGTCACCTGTGATTGGGCTTCGGAATTGCTCGCGTGGAAATCAGATTTCCCATCGGTGCCCGAGCTCTGGTGGCGCATCGCTACTGTGTATCTGCTGGCCCTAGTCTCCTGTACATACAGGTAACAGACACAAAGGGCTGCTAGTATGGCGCACTTGCTGGCATGAGGGTCTGATCACCACCAATGAGTGAGCCAATACGGTGGATTACTACTATGTTTAGGCCCATTCTCCGTCACAAAACCTTGCAACCTGAAATGCAGACAACCAACTTGGCCTGCAATGCGGGTGAGGTGACGGTCTATTACCGGCCGGTAAACCCCATGGCGCAAGATTGCTGCAAAAGACAAAAGGCAAGCCTATTTACTTACCTCGTACCTCTTGCCTATTACGATGACACTAAGGACCCGCTTATCATGGACGCATGCAATGCCGTAGGTCCAAGAGAACTCGTACGGAGCGTAGCGTGTCTCCTCCCCTTCCTTTCCCGTCATTCCCCCCGAGCGCATGTCTTGTCTCGGTCTCAGCCCGTCCAGTGTGGTTCGAGTGCGGTGTTTGCTGGACGACTCAAGCCTCTTGTCACTGGCTGTGGTGGAGATCAGGCTCCTCCCTTCATGTGTGTCCTTCCCAAATGGGTTAATATCAAACTCCCTCTGCGAAGGGGGGGGGGAGTGACAGCACCACTGTGGACTCTAGTCGACGATATCAATTAGCAAGCACTCGCTGCACGACGATCTGGAACGTCGCATTGCCACCGAATGACTCGGTCAAACGAGGCGTGCGCGATGCGATGGCGTAGCGCATACCCCAAGCAGCCCTTGTAATTGGGCGTATCTAGGCTAAAAGAAGGCCTGAGGCGAATAGTAGACGGGGGCGAACGGGTTGACGGGGTGAGTGGTTTGAGCGGTGTATTGGGCGACATTGTCTGGAAAACAGTTCCGTGAGGGCCAGCCGGTTCCTGTCAGTTGATGTCAAAGTCGAGGCGCAGAAATGAACTCATAGTTACATTCGAGGATCTTCAGATAGGCGACGCTTGCTGCGATCGCAGGCCCGCGGCGCGTCAGGTGATTCGCCCGGAAACCCGCCGGGGAGAGGGGGTGCCGACCAGGTTCCACCGCAGCCCATGCAAGCCTCCATGGCTGGCCGGCAAAGAACTGAGTGGCCGGCTGTTACTTCCCCCTCGACAGTGTCTTGATCATTGGATGTTGCTGACTTTCTGCAGGCGCGATCAGTAGCGTGCCGCTTTTTGCCACTGCCGATGGACAGCCTCCACACCCCTGGGTGATTGACTGGGTCGCAGTCTCCATGTGTTCATGGCGGCGAGGGGGGGGAAGAGGAACAAGAAAAAAGAGAGTTAAGACCCGACCTGACCGGATCTGACCTCGGGTACTAAGCCAATACGGTATTGAAGTAATCTTGAGGTACATCAGGTACGCATATTGTTATATTTATTATCTACTAGAGGCAACAAAGTCAAAGTATGTATCTTGGTAATTCTTTGGTATTATTGCGGGCCTAACCAGGTACACCCGCCCAATTGAACTTGTGTAGTACTCCATAATTTCCTCCCAGTGGTACTAGACTACCAAAACTGGGAGTTGCCAGGTACAGGGCTCCCGAAGGTCCCAGCGATGCGGTTTACTACTAACCTCAAAGCGGTAATAGAGATAGGTCCCAAACTCCAAGTCAGTTTTCCGGACCTTGTTTGTTTCTCAGGTCTCCGGATGGGAGACGTTCGTTCGCTGCTTCATAATTCGATTCCCATGGCCTATGCAGGTTAGCCCCGGGAACCATCTGGCAGGATGATGAGGGTATTTGCCATTTGGGTTCTACCGGCTCCGACACTTGGACGGCCGAAGATACTTCGAAGTTCCCCATTTGACACTAGCGCCCCCGGTAGTGATTGGGCGGATAGCAGTGCCACCAGCGACAGGCCGGGCCAAGACTGGGGCTGCCCGCAGGCTTGTCCTCTTTGGGACTGGTGGTTCCCGATCCTTTTTTTCTTTCATACGGAACAAGTTACGGAGTACTACTGGATTCTTGCTTACTGACTGCACTGCAGACTGAATGACTCTCCCTCTGTAGTAGTAGTCCACAGTCTCTTTCCTCCCCTCCCCGGCCGGAAGTCTCGACGGGCCCGCGGAATTATGTCGCAGCCTCTGCTGCTTTCCAGAAACATCAAGGTCTGTCTTACGGCCTCCCATCCGCATTGCTGACTGGCTGTCGCGTTTTAAGCTTCCTTCCCTCTGGGTCTCTGGGAGTCTGGGTGCTGAACTGTGTATTTCCTTCTTTCTTTCCTTTTTTTTTTTTTTTTATTTTGTCCCTTCTCTTTTCTCTTCTTGTATGCATTTCCCCTTTTGGTCTCATCTGTTGTATACTCGAA